GGAGGAGGGGAGGAGGAGGAGGAGGAGACGGAAGGAGGAGGCGGAGGAGGAGGGGGAGGAGGAGGAGGAGAGGAGGAGGAGGAGGAGGAGGGGGAGAGGGAGGAGGAGGAGGAGGGGGAGGAGGAGGAGGAGAAGGAGGAGGAGGAGGAGGATGCGGTGCCGAGGGGCGCCGAAGTCGTTGCATTCACGCACCTGCATTCACGCACCTGCATTCACGCACCTGATTCCGTCTGGCCCGAGCATGGGCCAGGGTCACGGTCACCTCTGGTAAGTGGTCAAGTAACCCTCGAACCCACACAGTCCTACCGGGGTATACTATCGAGGTTAGTTCGGGAAGGGTACCTTAAGGTTCTTTGTGTTTGTTGGATGCTCTTGTGCTCCCTGGGGAGGATACCCTTGGATGTTCAGTTCGTTTTGGCCGATGGAGGGACTCGTGTTCTTGAGGGATATTCTTCTGGCATGGATCCGACTGCATGCCATCCAGACCTTTTTGCCAACCTCGGGCCCGCAGTGCCGAAGGTGCTCATCGATGCGAGATGTCGATGCAGGGTTGTCCCGCTCGGGAGCCCTCCCGGCTCCCACATCTCGCATCCAGACTTTCAGACAACGCCTTCACCGCCTTGTCCCTCTCCAGGCATCCGATGCGGCCTCAGGGGTCCCGACCTTTTCCCTAGGAGCATATTTTTGTTCCAGACCTTCGCAGCCCGATGTTGGGCCCCCGAGAACGACAACAGCGGATTGGCGCCCGGGCAAAAATCGCATCGTCGGAGACCTGTGCCAATCATCCAGGGTCGCTTTCTTAGATCCAATCGATCCGATTCGATATTGGCTCAGGCCGGCCCGATTCGATTATATTCAGATGTTCGGGCAATCCGATGCAGCCCAATGCCCTGCTTGCGGCTGAGTGCATCCTTGCGACACCGAGAGAACGAGGAGGATGAGAAGAAGGAGGAGGAGGAGGTGGAGGAGGAGGATGAGAAGAAGGAGGAGGAGGAGGAGGGGGAGGAGAGGAGGAGGAGGAGGAGGAGGAGGAGGAGGAGGAGGAGGAGGAGGGAGGAGGAGGAGGAGAAGAACAAGGAGGAGGAGAGGAGGAGGAGGAGGAGAAAGAGGAAGAGGAGGAGGAAGCGGAGGAGGAGGAGGTGGAGGAGGAGGAGGAGAACGAGGAGGAGGAGGAGGAGGAGGAGAGAGGAGGAGGAGGAGGAGGAGGAGAGGGAGGGGGAGGGAGGAGGAGGAGGACGAGGAGGAGGAGGAGGTCGAGAGGAGGAGGCGGAGGAGGAGGAGGAGGAGAAGGACGAGGAGGAGGACGACGAGGAAATTGGGAGGACATGGGGAGGGGAGGAGGAAGAGGAGGGGAAGGGGGAGGGGGAGGGAGGGGGAGAGGGAGGGGGAGGAAGAGGAGGGGAGGGGAGGGGGGATGGGAGGAGGAGGAGGAGGAGGCGGAGGAGGAGGAGGAGGAGGAGGGAGGAGGAGGAGGAGGCGGAGGAGGAGGAGGAGGAGGAGGAGGAGGGGAGGAGGAGGAGGAGGCGGAGGAGGAGGCGGAGGAGGAGGAAGAGGAGGCGGAGGGAGGAGAGGAGGAGGAGGACGAGGGAGGAGGACGACGAGGAAATTGGGGGAAGACATGGGGAGGAGGAGGAGGAAGAGGAGGGGAAGGGGGGGGGAGGGAGGGGGAGAGGGTGGGGGGGAAGAGGGGGGGAGGGGAGGGGGATGGGGAGGAGGAGGAGGAGGGAGGAGGAGGAGGAGGAGGAGGAGGAAGGGGAGGAGGAGGAGGAGGCGGAGGGAGGAGGCGGAGGAGGAGGAAGGGAGGAGGAGGAGGATGCGATGCCGACTGCGCCTGCTACCCTCCCAGGAGGCCTCGGACGGACGCGTGCTGCCCTCTCACCAGGGGCCGCGGGCGACTGGCCGCGGCGCCGCGGCAGGGACGGCCCTCCCCCCGGCGGTCCCCCGGGGGGCGGGGGCGGCGGCAGGGGCGCGCGCGCCTCCGCCGCCGCGCTTGGGGCCGATGTCGGCGGAGCGGCCGGAGGTCGACGCCTCGCTCCAGGCCCGGAGACGCGGGCCTCCTCCTCGCTCCAGGCCCTGACTTGCCCATCTTCAGGCCTCCTCCTCGTCGTCTTCCTCCTCCTCCTCCTCCTCCTCCTCCTCCTCCTCCTCCCCCTCCTCCCCCTCCTCCCCCTCCCCTTCCTCTAGAGGCCTCCTCGATGGGGTCGGAGCAGATGGGGTCGGAGGATCGCGTCGCGTCGCCGATGGAGCGCCGATGCAGACCGATGCGGAGCCCAGCTTTCTCCATGCCGGCGTCACCAGTGCCTCGCCGACGTCGCCGATGCATCGCCGATGCATCGCCGATACATCTGCGATGCATTGGCGATGCGGCGCGATCCTTTGCCCCCATCTACTCGGACCCCATCTAAGCGGGCGTCCAAGGTCGCGTCGGACGGATTTTGGGGATGGGGGGAGATAGGGGGATGGGGTGATGCTGGGGGTGGATCAGGGGCAACGATCGGGG